CTTATTTCTCAGTGCCCATCATTTATTCTTTAGTTCCTGATCTAGAATCTTGCCAGGGTTTTAGGATCAAGCTCACCAGCTAGTACTTAACAGAACCACCTTTCTTCACCTTTGGAAAATTGAAACTGCCCTTACCTGCCTCCAGTCATTTGGAAAATCTGTTATCTTTGAAGAGCTCTCAAAGATCATGGACCGCTGTAAGTTCTTTCTGAATCTATCTTGGGATGTAATTCATCCAGGCTCAAATACCTGAACCCATTTACAGAAGCTTCGCCATTAGAGTTTTCATTCTTCCCTACCAATGACCACGCTACCCTTTTCAGAGGAAGATTTTTCTTGACAGAAAGGACAGAAGCAAAATAGGATTTTCAGAGTTCTGCCTTCTCTATGTCATCCATCAGCAGCATACCTTCAGTTCCTAACAGCAAATCAATCCCCTTTTCATCCCTTTCTTGCTCTAAACATAACTTTGAGTACCCCAAGTCTTCCTTAGCAATTCTTGGAAGTCTCTACTCAGGGAGATTTTATCTTTTAGTTGCTATTCTTAGAAATCTAAACCTCTTCTTACATTTGCATTAATTTGACTTCACCTTTCCTCTCTCTTTTTGAAACTGATCCTGAATTGGCAAAAAATTTTAGCTGTTGGAGTTGAATAATACATACATAGGGGTTATTAGGCAGGTCTTACTACTTTTGAAATTTTCCAAAATAAAAAGTCAAATAAATATATCTAAATATATAAATACAAATGTTTATATAAACATTTGAGGGAAGGGGGAGAGGGAGAGAAAGAAAAAAAAAAGGGAGGTATTCCCCATTTCTTTTTTTACTGGAATATGTTTTTATCCCTAAACTTCCTTTTATTGGTTGGGATAATTTAGTTTTAATTAACGTCTCAATTGCACTTCCTCTGCACCTCCCAATCCTTTTCATTTATCTTCCAGGCAAGATTCCCATGCTATTTTTCTTCGACTGCTTGAAATCCATCTAGCAAAAGTCTAGGATATACTCTAATTATGTTTGTTTCTCTCTTCCTATCAGGAACACATTTTCATTTAGGACTACATTAGTTTCACCATTATTCTTTAGGAACGTGGTTCTCAAAGCGTGGTTCTTGTACCAGCAAGTGGTTCTTGTACCAGCAACAGCAACATCATCCATGAACTTTTCCCACTGACCTGTTGTATCAGAATACCTGGAGATGGGGCCTAGAAAACTCTCCAAATGAGTCCTATCACATTAAAGTTTGAGAACCACTACTTTAGGAGAAGTAACTGTTCCCATTCAAAAGCTGTCAGACGCTGTGCTTTTAGCAAACGTGATTTCCATCAAGTGCCTAAATACTGGGAGTTCCTCATGCTACTGTATACATTAACCTGTGTGCCTATTTTATGTACGCAACTCATCACCTCTTCCTTAGGCCAATGGGCATACAGGACACTTCCACTTCTGTATCTTTCCCATTTCTCTCTTGCTTTAAATTCTCCTCTAAATAGTGTTTAGCATCCTTCCACTCAAAAGATCTCAATGCAGATATAATTTCTTGGCATAGCACACTATTATATCTCTCCCTTTAAGATATTTGAATTGTTACATTCAAATGGTAAGCCAAAATCCAGGAAGTCACCAAAACAGTCATGAGATATTTATTCTTCTCCCTTATCATCTCAACTTTATATCGTCATTCATATTTTGTATAAAGGTATTATACAAATACCTTTTGTAGAAGGTACCAAAGCTCCTAAGTATAACATCAAGCTAGTTTCCATATCTGTCTTTTGTGAATCTCTGGATACTGCCTCCATTTATTTCTGCTTACCATGTCTTACTGTATGTCTAACATAGTTTCATCAATTAATCTGCTTGTTTTTCTCCTCTTCAGTAGTATTTAGCCTAAAACTGTCCTAACCAGACCAGCTGGTTCCTAGGAACACACCCACAGGAGAAGTACTCCATCCCTCCTTCCATTCTCCTAAACTCAATGAGAGATGATGATAATTATACTAACTGCAAGCTTTCTTCCTAGGCTGTTAAATTAGTGCTTCTGTGATGATAAGTAAAAACTATAGCTGTAGCCAGAAAGGCATTGGGAGGGCCAGGAATATAGAAATTAACACAAATTTAATAGCTTGATTTTTTTTTTAAATCCTTTACTTGAGGTCCTCCCTTCCCTTGGTTCTTTTGTAAGCAGGAATATAACAAATATTACCTTGTTGATAAAATATTTGCTTTCAAATCAATATATTTGTAATCATAATTTTCTTCTTTAGAAGTGGGAAAAATTTACTTCATTGTATATTTCACTCTGAATTATGAAATAACTAACACCAATCAATTCCATGTATAGTAATGTTTATTCTACACACAGACAAATAAGTTCAAAGTTTTAAAGATCTAAATTGAAAAACCACATTGTAGAAGAAATATGTCACTGAAGAAGTTACAGAATTTATATTCAAAATGCAAGAATAGTCTGAAGATGTGTACTTTTTAAAAATTGGAATGTGTAACAAATAAGTTGGATGAAAAAGCAATTTATATCCAGTCTGGCCCAGAACATACCTCAACACCAAAGAAGTAATAAAAGACAGCAATAAAAGAAACTAACAAAACATAATGATAAAAGAAAATCACAAAGTGAAACATAAGCACAATTTGCTAAAGAACTCGATTGTGAAAATAGTGATATGCATATAAAATTGCATACTTTTGAATAATGATTATTCTTAAGAAATGAGTGAGGAAAAATAGACTACTCATTAACAAAAAAGAAAACAATGAGTCACAACACACTAATCTGTAGAAAGTAATAATTCCCCAATAATAGGAATAGTCACATATTTCTGCTAAATAGCTTAGTGGTTAAAATCACTTACAAAGAGTAAATAGAGTGTAAGCAGAATAATTCTATTTTTTTAAACAGCATCTTCTATTTCTGACATGGACTATAAATACTTCATAAGTAGTCAATAAATATTAAATCAAAATTGTTAAAATCCCTGGCTGGGTGTGGCTCAATGGTTGAGTATCAACCTATGAACCAGGAGGACATGATTCGATTCCAGTCAGGGCACATGCCCAAGTTGCGGGCTCCAACTCCAGTAGGGGCATGCAGGAGGCAGCCAATAATGATTCTCTCTCATCACTGATGTTTCTATTTCTCTTCCCCTCTCCTTTCCTTTCTGAAGTCAATGAAAACATTTTTAAAGAAAATATATTTACAGTATTTATTGAAAAAACCTGTGCAGACCTGGCCAGAGTGGCTCAACGGTTAGAGCGTCAGCCTGCACACCAAAGGGTCTTGAATTCGATTCCCGGTCAAGGGCACATACCCGGGTTGCGGGTTCGCCCCTCCATCCTTCCTCCTTCCCTCTCTCTAAAAAAAACAAACAAATAACAAAACCTTTGTATAAGTGGGCCCACGCAGTTCAAACCTTTGTTGTTCAAGGGTCAACTGTATTTCTTATTCCTATTTTTGTTACTCAAACACTCCAACTTCTTGTGAGTCATATAGCTTTTGAAGTCTGTTTCTCTCTACCAAAACTGAACCTTGGAGATAACCTATCTGTGAGAAATGCTTTGATGATTGACTAGAAAATGACTTTAAGTGTTTATAAACCTCAGTATATCATCATCCCCTTTATCCTTCCATTTTCTCAGTTATCTTGTCATCAACAGAGGTACTACTTAAAAGCATCTACTCTTTCACGTCTCAGCTCCTACCTATCATTGAACAAATTTTAAATCAATTTTCAGCCTTTTAGGGGCTAATAAACATTCTCACCCAAAGAAAGTGACAGTATAAGATGTAATGTTCTGGTGATGCTTTGGGATTCTTAACAAAAAGACACCTTATACATAAAATAAATGGATATGTTTAGAACTCATTGTTATAATTTGAGATTACAGAGGCCATTCTCCCTATACTTCATATAACAGTATTATCAAAAATAGTTTTATGTTTTCATGTCAGTTTTGACACACAAGAATATTACAGTAATTACTACTATTATTATGTGAGTTTTTCCCTAACAAAGGAAAAATGTTAAATGGAATATGGTTATTTCCCTTTTTACCATTGACTAAAAGAGGTGCTACCATTTTATATCAGAAAATAAGAAAGTTCATCATAATTGAAATAACCCTATCCTAGGACCATTATAAAATGCACACTTCTCACACACACACACACACACACACACACACACTCAAGTCTCTGGATTCCTGGTCAATTATCTTTCTCTAACCACAGAGCTAAAACTCAATGAATGTCTTCTACTGAATAAGGGCTTTTTATTTTTTTTTTTATTTTTTAAAAATCTATTTTATTGATTTCAGAGAGGAAGGGAGAGGGAGAGAGACAGAAACATCAATGATGAGAGAGAATCATTGAGCGACTGCCTCCTGCATGCCCAGTGCCTCCTGCATGCCCCCTACTGGGAATCGAGCATGTGCCCTTGACCGGAATTGAACCCAGACCCTTAAGTCCGCAGGCTGACGCTCTATCCACTGAGCCAAACCAGCGAGGGCTGAATGAGGACCTTTTAAAAAGATAGCAGTCCTGCCTGCCCAGTGTCACTAAGTTGGTTGAGGGTGGTCCTATGCACCAGGTCCCAGGTTCGATTCCTAGACAGGGCACATGCCCAGTTTGCTTGATCCCTAGTAGGTGTTGTGCAGGAGGCAGTCAATGGAATGTTTCTCTCTCTCCCTCTTCTTTTCTCTCTCTGAAATCAATAAAAACATATTTTTAAAATTAAATAAAAATAAAAACAAAAAAATGACAGTTCTGTGACAAATACACGAATCTGAACCAATAATTCCTTTTTCATCCATTCACTCAAATTATTAAACAGCTATAATAATGTAATGCTTTCAATCATTCAATAAGTACACAAAATGTAAAAAATGTAATATGGTAAGGAATATTTCTACATTCATATTTTTTGAGAAACTCCTAGCATGCATTTCACATGCAGTTTCGTGTGTATAAATGACCTTACCTCTCTTACAGATAGCTGTGGTGGGAAGGAGACTGAAAACACTAAGTTAGTGAATTCAAATCCAGAGGCCTCTACCTTTTGGCACACCTGAAAAAGTATTACATAAAAATTACTTTATTACATAAAAGAGTATTATATAAATTCCCAGGAAGTGTTAAAAATTGTATACTAATCTTCATAACATAGATTTTTGGTCCAGGAAATGACACTGCAAAACTTCTAAACTTTCACCTTTGAGTAGGGAATTCTCACAAACATCATGAAATCAAATATTTGCTAACTATGACCCTGAAGACTGACAACACCGAAACAGCAAGGACTCACCTGCAGAACAATCTGCTGAATGTCAAAATAGTTTTCTATTAGGTTACCTCATCATTTAAAAAAGATTTTAAACAAAGTAAAGCCAAATATGGACTCTTGACAGCTGGGAACAAAAGCCAGTCCTACATTCAAACATGCACCTCCCACAAGGCTGTAACACTTTTCTAGACACTAATAGGTATGACTAACAAAGAACTTTTCTCTAGCTTCTTATGTTAAAATAGCAAAGGGAAAACTGCTATTTATTTTTTTCAATTGAATAGCACTCATGACTGACATACATAAAGGGATATATATTTCATTTTCAGATATCATGTTGATTAAAAGGTAATTTTAGATAAAAAGGTGTTCATTATTTGAAATAAATTAAGGAATTGTTTTAATAATACATTGGTGTGAAACACGTTGAAATGAATGGCATTGTTCCTGTAGATACAAGAATTCCAGGTCTGCTCTGGCCAGGTGGCTCAGTTGATTGGAGTGTCATCCCATACACCAAAAGATTGAGGGTTTGATTCCCAGTCAGGGTACATAGGTGAGGCAATTAATCAATGAATCTCTCTCACATTGATGTCTCTCTCTCTCTCTTTCTCTTTCCCTTCCTATCTCTCTAAAATCAATAAAAAAAAGAATTCTAGGTTTAAAACTAAAAATCTCTATATAAGTGCACATATAATAACAGAAGACAGATTATTTACCTTTTTAATGAACTCTTTTTCACAGAATTCCTGAAGAATTCCTAGGCATACATTGCATACATTTGGACTGGAGTTCTTAGAAGCAATGCTTCCGTCTTCAATAACGGACACCCTTCCCTCTCCATTTTGACTCTGATTATCAGTCCCATCAATCCCATCTTCCAGTTCATGGAGTCGAATTTTCTTGGGAGGTGGGTTTGGAACTTCCAAAATTAATTCACCTTTTTCAGTTTTCAGAAATTTCTGTAGTTCATTGAGCAACTCCTAGAAAGTTAATTTTTAACAAAACACAATAAAAGTAATAACTCTAAGGGTAAGATGAAGCATGAAAACAGGAGTGAATATTATGATATATCACAAACTTGCCCAATGTTGATTTATATTCAATCTAGAGCGATGAATTAATTTTATTAGCCAGCATCGGCTTTCTGGGGAATTTAAAAGAGGCTTAACTAACTCCTATAATAAATGTGTGGATATTTTTTCAAAAGAGTTTCATATATCAGAGAAGCTAAATCTGAGGCAGAAAGGCTCCATTAAGATATTAACTAATTAATTAGTTCACTGGGCTTGTAGTTCTGTTGTGGGGTCATTCACTCATTCACTTGCTAATTAAAAAAAAAGAAAAAAGAAACCACTTTTCATTTCCAATTGTTAACAAATAGAAATACAAACGGACTTTCCATTATTGCTTTCCATTATTGGTTATGTAATAACCTCACAATCACTAAAACGTCATATGTATAATATTTAATATGAAGTCTGAAAAATTAGAGAGAAATTAGGGGTCTATTAAGTAAAAGTAAGTTCAAGACAATTTACTAAACAAAGGTAAACAGATGCTGGAAATGCTGAGATTTGGCACCATAATTACAAACCATTTATATGTGCTAATTGAAAGCGGCCCTCTGCTACATTCTGGTTTGCCTACTTTTTGTTGCCTTTTGAATTAGAATGTTAAAAGTGGCATTCCTTTGAAACCATTCTCATATTTCAGACATTCTACTCATCCAAATACTCAGAAGACTTTTTCCTCTATTTCGTTTAAATTAAACAGGCTTTATTTTTCAGTTGTTGAATAAATATCCTTTTAAATTCATTCAGATTACAATTTACTGACTGTAAAGGGAAAAGTTTTTCACTCAAACAAATTTAATTCATTTTATTAAGACATTAGCTCTCCTATTTTATCAACAGAGAAATACTCATACATACATACACATACAGGTTTATTATGACCCACACAAATGTTTATTATTACCTAAGATCTACAATGTTGGTATAACACAGTACATATATATATGTATATGTACATATATAATTATATGAATAGAACAGGTCAAAATTTAAATACATTTTTTTAAAAAGTCTTCAAATATTTACATATTTACACAAAATGATACAAACAAAAGTTAGTAACACTAAGTTCCTTAATATGTTTTAAATCTTAACAACATATGCATAGCATACTAGATTATAATGTCTTTTAAAATGTGTAAGAGAAGTTACACAAAACCAGTTTTGTTACTTTATAGTCATTGTGTGTATAAATAAATATACACATATATTCATCATCATAGCATATGTACCATTTCCAGTTTTCAAAGTGCTTTCACATACTTTATTAGATATTGTCCCTTAAAATCCTGTGAGGTGGATGTTATCATCATTCCCAATTACAGAGGAGAAAACTGAAGATGGAAAGTTGTGGAACTGGGATTCAAATCCATGTCTTTCAGCTCCAAATTCTAGGCTTTGGGTTCAGACAGACAGTTCATATCCTAGCTTGCTCACTTAATAGCTGTGTAACTTTGGGCAGGTTGCTTAACCTCTCTGTGCCTCAGTTCTTCATCTGAAAATAGAGACAATCATAGTATGTACTTACCTAATAGGTTACTATGAGAGTTACATGAAGGTTGAAATATAATAATGCTATATGAATATTAGATATAATTATTATTTTAAAATAATAGAAACAATTAATACATAGGAAAAATGACTGCTATTGCTAACTCCTGGGAAATTTTTTAAAATTATAAGAAACTGAGTGTTCATGTGTATGAATCTGTGTGTGTGTGTTTGTTTATACTGTTTGTATAGTTATATATTTACATATATATAATTACTATCTGCCTCTGAAAAGAATATCACTATTAGAATCAAATATATTTCACAAAATGTTATATATTTTATGTGAAAGGATTCTATTAAATGTCAAAGATCTCTGTATTACTTTTGTTGTTATTAATAGCAGTAAATAATTAATGATTTTAATGGAATTTCTTTATAGAGGGTTGCAAATACTATTTGTAAATAAAATGATAAAATAGAAAACAGAAAAAAATGCAACCGAACCCACAATGCTTTCACTTAATAGAGTTAAGGACTACCACCCCCTCCTGTTAAACTTCCTAATATCTGGTAAGAAGCACTACTTTGTGATAGTTTGTCTAGATACTCTTTAGGAAGGGTCTATACAAACATTAAATGCACCAGGGAATGGCTCCACAAAGATCCCACTATATTAAATGTTAGATTAATCACTTAAAAAGAAACTTACATTTTTATGATAATGTAAATTCTAAAATTAGCATTACCAGTAGTTACCAGTAATTATTTTATTATAGTGTTTTTAAATTTAACGTAGAGTTATGGATAGATACTTGCCCTCAAATATACAAGTATTAGAGAAAACTTCTTAACTTAAAAAAAAAAGAAAAAGAAAATACCTCGTAAGAAAGTTTGTAAGGTGCATGAAAATCCACACCACAGAATCTGAAGATACATCTTGGACATGTACCAGTATTGAACAACAACTGGGCCACATGCTTGTTTTCCTCAGTCAGCGGAAACATACTGAGTATCTATGACTACAAAGAAACAAAAAGTAAAACTAATGAGCATCTTTTGTGTTTTACTTTCACAGACAGATAAATCATCTTTAAAGATAAAAACTAACTTTTATTTGAAAAACACTATTTTGTATTCCCCAATAATGACCCTTTCATTATATGCATAATGAAACATACACTTGAAAGAAATTTATTAGATGAATCAGATAAGTTTCTAATTGTCAAGGGGTTAGTTTAGTATTCTGGATTATGATAAAGTATATCAATATAACTCAATCAATCAAAAAAATAAGAAGAAGAATGGTTGTCTCTGAGAAAGGTGATGAAAACAAGAGCAGAAAGTAAAAATTTGATTTTATTTTGTACCATTCAGTGTTGTTTGAGAATACAGAATAATAAATTTAATAAACTTTTCATATTAGAAATTAAAAATGAGTTTGCTAGAAAAAACTTATCAGATAGGTTTACATTATATAATACTTGACTAACCTTAATGAAAGTTAAGCAGTCAAATATTTAAAACAAATTAATGGATGGATCCAAAAACATCAATTTTACTTTGATGATATAACTAAATGACAACTAACTATTATCAAAATAAGAAAAATTTGTTTCTTTCATGCACAAGTAAAACCTCCAACAAAAACAAATGAAATGCAAATATTTTAGAGTAATTACTGTCTGGAACAATTTGCTACCTTTTGCAATTTGAATAAATTCACTTAGAAACAAATACTAGAGAATAGAGGAAATCCAATATAATTCTCGTGTTGCCAGGAAGGAGGAGTGGTAAATTACCTAATCATTCTGTTTGGCAAAAATGGTCTTCTGATTAATGAGTCAGTCCACACTACTTTAAAATGAGGAACTAGCAAAGGTATTGCATGGCAATGTTGTGGTACGGTGAAACTGGTCACACAGGTAAAAGGCAGTGGCACCTTTTAATTTGTGGTTTCACAAAGCAAATGAACTTGTTAAAAATATGTAAGAAGGTGAAGCTCTTACCAACTGCTTACTATAAAGATGTGCTTCTTAGAATACGTTTGTGTTTTTCAACCCTTTAAATGCACTACTTCCTTCCAAGCTTCTAAATGTCTGTGGCCACTTACCAAGAGTGGAGCCTTGACACAAAATAATGACTGCACTCCCCTCACCGAGAAACTGTTTTTGTCTCACCCTTTATGTCATCTTTTCTCCTCCTTTCCATTAGTTAAGGTAAAGGATATCATTTAATTCATAATTAACCTTTAACTCAGAGAAACAAATAACCCTTCTTCCCCAGTAAAGTCTAGGAGTAAGTGCTTAAAAAGGACACTTTGTATCAGAGATCGCCCTGGGGACTTAAGTTAAATAATTTCAATAAAATGTTTATTTTCTTTCCTTTGACTTAAAAACAATGTTTATTTCTCCAATAGGTTCTTAGAAATAAAGATATCATGAATTAATGATACAATATCATCTCTTTGCTCTGAGAAATTCCCAAACCTACTGGGAATTAGGAGACCCGTACTGAGTAATTTGAAGGGGTCTTAAACAAAACCAAACAAAACCCTCTTGAGTGTGTCATTAATTGAATGGATTTACAATCCTCCTAAATCATTTTCACCTAGCAACAATCTAGCGCAGTGGTTCTCAACCTTCCTAATGCCGACCCTTTAATACAGTTCCTCATGTTGTGGTGACCCCCAACCATAAAATTATTTTCGTTGCTACTTCATAACTGTAATTTTGCTACTGCTATGAATCGTAATGTAAATATCTGATATACAGGATGTATTTTCATTGTTACAAATTGAACATAATTAAAGCATAGTGATTAATCACAAAAACAATATGTAACTATGTGTTTTCCGATGGTCTTAGGCGACCCCTGTGAAAGGGTCGTTGGACCCCCCAAAGCGGTCGCGACCCACAGGTTGAGAACCGCTGATCTAACGACTTCTTGAGCACGTGAACATTAAAAGGAGGAAATACTTTCTGCCTTAAATTTGACTGTTGCATCTTAATGTACAGCGTCGAAATGACAGGACTTCATAAGACATGAGAAATCGGTTGTCCCAAAAGAGGTTTATCTTTGAGCAAGATAAAGCAAGCCGTGAGAAATGTATCCCACCTAGCAAGGTTTTCATTGTTGCTACCTTGGTGTAGATGTTTGCTTTCGTTTACGTTTACGTGTTTACTTTACAGAAAGAACCGGAACAAGTCATTGCAACAGAGCCTCCTCCCACGTGTCAGGATCCCCAAGGGGACCGAGTCCCTTCTCCACAAACCAAGGATCACCAACCCAGTCTACGGTAACCCGGTCAACTGGGGGAGAGGAGGAACTTTCTTTCCATCTCTCGGAATATTACAGAAACCATTCACTGCAAATAGGGAAGGGGCAGGGCACGTGAAAAAGCACCGACATGACCAGGCTGTCTCACATCCTGTGATCTTTCTAAAAACTCATTGCATGCTGAAGGGTGTCATTTGTCTCGTGGGGGTGGGGGTGGGGTTGTGGATTTCTAAATAGGGAGGCGCTACCGCTGCACTCAGCTGTGCAATCTCCCCTACATCCAAGATCTATCTAACCTTGAGGGTCTTTTTTGGCCAAACAAGACCTTCACCACCACCCACCACCGTACCCCCACTTCGGTTGAGTCCAAGAAACTTCCCACTCACCCCTCCTCTCTAACAAAGCGGCTCCAGCAGGGAGGAGACGATCCCCTCCATCCACACCTCTCCGGCACCCAGATGGCACGCCCTCACCTCGGACCTCCCAGCCTCACCTTCTCCCACGGAGCCGGAGCCTGAGATTTAACCCCTGCCGGCCCTCAGAGGGAGCGGGGAAGACTAAAGACAGCGCACCCATGCGTCTAGCAATTCTGTTCCCCGAGGAAACGAGAGCTTTAGAACGAAAGTACCAGCCCCTCTCGGGAGGACTGACTGCGCTATATCCCCTACTTGTTTGCAGAAAAATCAGTGAAACTGCCTGGACTGCCGCCACACACACACCCCGCCTCTCCCGCGGGTGGAGGAGTGCGGGGGACAGAAGTCCACGCCTGAGCGGGTCTAGTCTCAGAGAAGCTGCGGAGGGACTCCGGACCTCTAAGACATTGTAGCCGCTGCCAGAAATGTCGATGAGCCCTTGACTTTATCAGGAGGTTTAGAAAGGAAATTCTTTCTTTGGCAAATAAAAAGAGAGCCTCTTTTTCTCTCATGGGTTAGTGGCATCCTCCTATCTTCCTGTTCCAGCTGGCAAAGCACCACACGCCACGTGCTGGCCGCACGGGTGGACGGGGGTGGATGGCTCCGCGCTCTGCTCGTCGTGCCTGGTGCGCGAGTGTGGTGGGCCGGAGCGGGGAGTCCCAGCGCTCAGCTGCGGCCGTTGTGCGGGCGAGGTTCCCCTCCCCTTTTCCCCCAGCCCCAAGCCTTGAAGGGGGGTCGGGGCGGGGGTCCTGGGGCAGCTTTGTTGTCTGACCGCAGTTTCTGACCCGTGGTCTGTTGGCGGGACGGCCTCCAGGGAGCTGTCTTCTGGGTCCTGGGGCTTGGAGTGAAGGGGGAGGCTTCCTGCCCCTTTCTGTTTGCGGGACACCGTGGCGCCCGCTGGGCCCCTGTGCAGCGGTGGACTTGGCCGTAGCGGGTGAGGGTGACGGCCGCCCAGCCCCGGCCGGAAGGGGAGCAGAGCCTGTCTCCAGCTCTGAACGGCCTCCCGGGTCGTTGGAGGAAGCCCAAAAGGTCCCTTTGACGCAACCGGGACCTCAGCCTGTTACACACTTGGCGTTGTTTTCCGGAATCGCTGTGCAGTGGGTCGTGCAGAGATTTGGAGAAGCGACTTGGCAGCGGGAGTTCTAAGGCCAATGGATGGCCTTTATGCGCAAAATAGTGTGTGGTTTTTCTAAGGCCTGTGGTTTTTGTGGTTTTTTTTAAAAAAAATATTGAATGGATTTACAACTCAGAAAAGGTTAAAATAGTATGAGAGAGAGAGTTACACAGCCTTCTATGTTTGTGGATTTGGACATCCTAGTTCCGATGATGAAACTGGAATGTCACATAACCTAATACATAAAAATCCCCGACGTACCGGAAAGTATTTCCCCTGTGCTCTAAACTCTTGAAATAATTTATTTAAACGGTATGGTGCTTGAACACAACAGCTACTTAATGATAGCTACTTAACAAGTAATAAGCTTTAATTATGCTGTTAAGCTGGGGTGACACTTTCTACTACCTTTTTAATGAGTGATTTGACTTCCTAAAAATGTGGACTGTTTCTTAGGAACAGGGAGGTTTTATTCTTGCATCTCTTAAAGTTCTGTTTATGTAAAATTAACCATTTCCCACTCTGTTTTCATTGTGAATTATTTTAAATATGTAGAGACCTGTGGAGCGTAAGATAGTGAATATGTGTGTATGCATTCCCTCCCGGCTTTAAAAAATAATATTTTGCCAGATTTGTCTCAGATTCCAAAAAAAATTAAAATTAGAGACACAGATAAACCCTCCCATTCTGTTTCCTGCAGTAACTACTGTCCCTATTTGGTGTGTAGTGTACCCAATAGCTTTTATACTTTATCTTATATTTCACTACTTAGCTTTGTGTATATATATATATATATATATTTTTAAATATATTTTATTGATTTTTTACAGAGAGGAAGGTAGAGGGACAGAGAGCTAGAAACATCGATGAGAGAGAAACATCGATCAGCTGCCTCCTGCACACTCCCCACTTGGGATGTGCCCGCAACCAAGGTACATGCCCCTGACCGGAATCGAACCTGGGACCCTTGAGTCCACAGGCCGACGCTCTATCCACTAAGCCAAACCGGTCAGAGCAATCTACACTAATAAAAGAGAAACATCATTTTGCAAAATGTGTTTCCAGTTATTCCTACTATAATAAAAGCTAATTATGCCTAAGTGTCCAGTTGGCTGTCAATCTAAGCATAATATGCTAATGAAATGCTAAGGCGGCTCAACCACTCGCTATGACAGCACTGACCACTAGGGGTCAGACACTCTGACGGGTAGGTTAGCTTGCTGCTGGGGTGATTGGGACTGAGCGAGATAGACTGGACATACCCTGGAGCCCTCCCACAGTCCCTCCCTGGCTGGCCAACCTCCCACATCCCTCCCTGGCCCTGATCGTGCACCAGTGGGGTCCCTCGTCCTGGCCTCTCGCAGTCCGGGACCCCTCGGGGCACGTCGGAGAGTTGGTTTTGGCCCAATCCCACAGGCCAGGCCAAGGGACCCCACTGGTGCACGAATTCGTGCACCGGGCCTCTAGTATTATATATAAATATTATTTATTTTGAGTTTATCTTGTTCGTACATATAGCTGTAGCTTATTTTAATTGCTGTAGGATAGTCTGTTATATAAAAACAAACTTTATTTGCTCTGTTGTAGATTTTAAAGTATTAGTTGGTACATATTAAAAACTGCTGCAATGAACATTCTTGTGCCTTTCTCCTTTTCCACATTTCCAATGGGTTTTCTAATGTGTTACTGTAAGTGGAATTGCTTGGAAGGGTGTTTATCTTCAAGTACTGTTGCCAAGTTGTTCCCCAAAGTGGTTATATATTAGTTTTTCCTTTCACTAGCAAGGTATTCTGTTTTTCTACAATCTTTCCAGCACTTGATACTGTGGGGCTGTAAAAAATAACTTCTGATCTTTTTAAGTTCTAGCTGGGCTAATGATCCAATTAACAGAGACATTAATAGCAGAAAATGTACAAAATTTATTACAGATATGCATGTGGGTGTGCCATAAGAATATGACACACAAAGAAACATTGGGCAGTTTATATGCCATTTTAGACTAAGGAGAAGTGGTGCTGGGGGGATGGTTTAGGACTTTAAAGGGCAGGAAAGCAATTCACATGGAGATGGAAAAGCAGATGTTTGGTAAATAAATGTTTACTGGGCCATCTTTAACAATAGGATACTGAGAGGACTTTGAATAAATGGGTCTTGCTAGGTTCCTTCATGGCTATCACACACAGTAGTTTATATTAAACTCTAAGTATCTATGATGATATCTCTCTTCCTGGAGCAGATCCTCTATCGAAATTCTTTTTAGCCAATTAGGGGAAGGTCAGTGTTTCTTTCTGTCTTCTGTCCTTAATTACCAGCTTAAAATCAATATCCCAATAGGCTTATTTTGGGGTAGCAAAATTTAGTCCCTCTCAATGTTATTTTTTTTAGTACTATATTTGCCAGTCTAATGGATGTGAAATGCTATTTCACCTTTATACTTCTCTGATTAGTCATAAGATGGAGCATTTTTTTGAAAGCTTATTCACCATTTGAGTTTTTTCTGTTGATTTTCTTTTTGCCCACTTTTCTTTTGGCTTTATCTTTGTTTATTAATTTGTAGTAGTAATTTATTGTTCATCCTAATTCTGTTTTCTTTGTTTTTAATATCTTTCCGTCTATGGCTTATCTTCTTTATATTCATGTTCATTTATGTTTTACAGGTACTTTTAATTTTAATATAGCCAAAATGTTCATATTCTTTGTGCTTTTTGTGTCTTGGTTAAGAAATCCTTTCTCTTCAAATCAGGAAAATTTTTCTTTTAAATGTTCTTTTCACATGTATGTCTAATCCACCTGGTACTGAGTTTGTTGTACAAAATCATTGTGAAATAGGGAATCTAATTTCTTTCCATGTGGATTACTGATTGTCCCAGTACCATTTATTCATCTATTCCATATTAGTTTATAATGCCATCTATGTCATCAAGTTTTCCTAAATGTGTGGTTCTGATTGCCCCTAACCTGCCTCTGTCTCGGCCCCACCACCATGGCTTTGTCCGGAAGGTCTCCCGGTCTAATTAGCATATTACCCTTTTATTAGTATAGATTGCTTCTACTTTAGAGCTAGCTGCTTTATCAAAACCTGAATATACTATACTATTTGGCAGTCTGCTGACCTTTTTTAACGTTTTATTCCATTTTTTATGATATAATATAAAGTAAACAATATTACCCATAAATTATTCTTGGCAAAAATGTTAAGATTCTTTTATATATATTTATTGATTTCAGAGAGGAAGAGAGAGATAGGAACATCAGTGATGAGAGAGAATCACTGATTGGCTGCCTCCTTCATGCCCCACACTAGGGATTGAGCCTGCAACCCAGGCATGTGCCCTGACAAGGAATCGAACCATGACTTCCTGGTTCATAGGTCGACGCTGAACCATTGAGCCACACCAGCTGGGCTTCACTGATTCTAATCAAACATTTAGAAGCATTCTTTAGTTTAACTTGGAAATATAGAGGATAGAGGTATACTTAAACAACATTTTTGGAGAAAACATCTAGAATGTGGGGCATTCTAGAAGAAAACTGGCTGGACTCTTCAAAAAGTCAAGGACATTTTTTAAAAAGGAGTTGTTCTAGTTGAGAAGAGAGAAGGAGACAACCAACTACAACATGTAAACCTTAATTTAATTTTTGTTTAAAAAAATGACACTGAGCACACTATTTTGTCAAACTGGTATTTTCTTGATAGGAAAACTTTATCTGTGAAGAAGGGATGTGCTGATTTACATTATGGTGCAAGCTCCTTATCTGGTAGATTAGCCTTTTGAGTAGCAGTGGCTACAGGATGATTGGGGAAGAAAATATCCAGAATGAAGCACAAAGTGACAAAAGGACAGAACATACAGAAAGGAAGGGAAGAGATTTAGGGGATGAAGTAAGGTATAATTTACAAATAGAAAATAAATGAACAGTCCTGTAAGTCTAGGGTATCCCGAAAAATGTATACACACACTTTGAATAATTATAAAAGCAGTGTTTATTAAAATACATTTTCAAAATTGAGCTATCACCTAGCTGTTAAAGTGTGTATACTTTTTGGGGGACACCCTTATTAAAGCAGTGCTTCTCAAAATATTTGTGTTAATGCCAGTACATTTGTAAATTACAGTAAAAATATCATAGCAGTGTCAAATTACTTAAACACTTAACCTCATTTTCTGTACTTTTAATAGATTGGTACAAATGGTTCATAAACTAGCACTGGTCCACAGAACATACTTTAAGTAGCATACTACTAAAGAAATAGAATTCATAATTAAAATCCTTCTTACTAAGAGAATTCTAGGCAGGCTCATATGAATTTACTGGTAAATTTTACAAATTTTTAAAGAAGAAATTGTTGGGGTCCAACCCCAGTAGGTCCAGGGGTCCCCAAAGATGTGGACGGAGTCGGCGAAGAAGGAATGACACGGAGACAGCGTTCAGTTGATCAGCAGCTTAGCCAGGATCTCCAGCCAAGTTCTGTCCAGGATCTCTAGCCAAGTTCTGTGTCCATGTTCTCTCGCTAGGTTCTGTCTCTAGGTTCTGTATAGGATCTCCAGCCAAGTCCTGTCGCCAGGTTCTGTCCAGGATCTTTTGCCATGTTCTCTCTAGGTTCTCCAGCCAAGTTCTGTAGCAAGGTTCTGTCTCTAGGTTCTTCAGCCAGGTTCTCTCGCTAGGTTCTGTTTCTAGGTTCTGTGTCTAGGTTCTGTCTTTAGGTTCTGTCTCTAGGTTCTTACTCCTGTTGTCTTGTTACATCTGTATTTATACCAGTTGATTTTAATCCTGTCAATTTCTATTCCAAAGGTTAGGGCGTTTCTTATCTCCATTCCAGGGAGTAAAGATTATGTAGCTTAAGCGTGATTGTTCTTAGTT